AGTCCTGCACTCTTCGGACCTACTCGCACCCGCGAGCCAACAGGAGTGGAGTCGACAACGGCCAACCATCCCGCCCGAGTCCCCACTTTTGGACCCACCTGCTCGGAGGCCTTTCTGGAGCGGTGCCGAGGCCGACCAGTCCCAACGTGGGACCCCACGCGCACACGGCAGTAAAGTACGTCCTGCTCTGATACCACTCTGTCACGGGCTGAGAGTCTGGCGCAGCACACGGCGCCCGTGCGGCGTCCTGGAGGACCCCATAATCCTCAGGACAAGCCTTACCACGTACGGATCACACTGGTTTCGCCCTGCCATGGGCTCATCAGGGAGGCGGCACTAGCCCCCGACCAGTTGTGCACACAGTCCGAAGACTGAGGCAGAACACCCCCAATGCTAATGTCGCCCCCTTTACTCATATTGTGCGAGGCTAACCAGCGGACCGTTCATTATCTTGATCTTTACACGGTCACAGAAATATCATCTGTGACAATTTGCCTGTGAAACGCCTCCAAGGGAGGAGCTTTTCCCAAACGAACTCAACAGGGAAAATTCACTCCATCGATAAATTGGTGGGAGCATATTCTACACTCCCAAGGATGTGCCTTTTTTCTATAATTTTAAGTAGTTTTTAATTTAATTTTTTCTACTTTTTTTAATTTTATTTTTAATTCATGTTTAATAATTTTTGTAAAAAAATATGTGCAGACTCTGAATTTTTGTACTTGTGATATTTGTCAAGAAAGCTCTAGCGTCTGGGTTAGTAAAATTTTTATTTTATAAATATGTTTAAATATTTTTGTTCCATATAGTTAATTTTTTTATTCCATTTATGTGAATGTTCAAAATAAATAAGTGATGTTATAAAAATTTGTGAACGTATATGTAATATTATATTTAGCTAGTTTTTTGTTGAATTTCATGGAGGTGTAATACTAAAATAAATTAGGTAAAAAATATTTGAAAATAATATTTTAATGGATAGAAATTATATTCATTAATCATGGAAGAATTATGTTTGTTGATTATGACAGAAATATCATAAAACTTAAATTTTTTTGGTGATGGATAGATTGTGGATTACTATGCCTTGAACTACTGAAACATATTTAAATGGGCTAGAAATATTTTTATATTTTGCAATGTCATGTGAAGATGGAGTTGAACTTGATCTTTGTGTATGTCTAGCATGATATGCTAGAACACTTGATGTTAAAACAATTTCCTTGAAATATGCATTTTGGGCAATACATGGGGTGGCACGTGATAGGGTAGATGGATTTAGAGATGTCTCAGCAAGAATTGAAATATTAGTTTTAGTGTATCAAGAAGATCCTATTATAATATAGTTCATGATATATTTGAAGTGCTACAAGAAAAAAAAATTTCTAATGAAGTAGATGGTTGAGATTCATTATTTTTGAATCAAACAGATGAAAAATTTAAATTTTTTTATAAATTTTTAAGAGATGAAGAGCAACCTTTTAATTTACACATAAGAACAAATCATAAATTAAAGAAATTTCTCGTATTTACAGGTAAACTGTATTTCTACTATCATATTGTAATGTTTGATTTTTTTAATATGAGTGAGACTAATCAATTACTCTTTATGTTTAAAAATATAAGATATTTTTGATGAGTTAGATATTAAAAAATATAAGATATTTTTAATTTTTTGATGTATAATTATTACTTTCTTTAAGTATTCTTATTGATAATAATTTTATATTTATTATAAAATATTTAATAAAAATAAATATAAAAAAATAAAATTAATTTAAAAATAAAAATTATTTTATTAAAAAAATAAAATTTAATTAAAAATATTTTATATTTTTTAAAAGAGAGTATAAAGCAGAGGGTTGATATGCATGTTCATTTTTTATATTATAAGATTTTATCATAAAAATGACGATCCTCTGGTCTTCTGACATAAACCCAATGAAGCAAGAGCGAGACAGCCAAAATTCTGGAGATTTTCAACTCCTTTTAGAAAATATTGAGACCATTCTTGACCATCTGATCAAGTCACCCGGATTAACACGATGACTTTCATATACAGTATTTTTATACTTAAAGTATTCTCACAGCTGGTAATTAAGAGATTAATTTTTTAAAGAATTTGAGCCTCGTCCGAGGGATTGTCCTTTCTTGAACAATGTTTTTCTATATGCATTTCAAGAAATCGAATCTTACAAATGCTTAGGGGACTCACACCGTTACATAAATTATTTTTTAACTGCTATTTATATGATTTTTATGAATACAAATAGTTTTTGCATAACTTCATGCAGTTTTTGCATTACATACGCATGTAATTAATCTGTTTATGTTTGGTTTTGATTTCCTCCCTCTACTCTGAATTGTTGGCTCTTGCCTAGCTTCAATGCTATGGCTTCTTTGCTGGTAAAAAAAAATCTATTAAATTTGTTTAGTTATTGATTTGAACCTGAAATTAATTCTTAAGGTGTTAAATTTCCATTCAAATCATGAGAATTAATTGTATAATTTAAAAATATTAAAGACTTGATTGATAAGGTAATTTTGAGAACCAACAGTTTCATTATTCCTAATCAGTATTAATATCTTAATTAACTACTCTTCCTATGTTCATAATTTGAGTAGAAAGATAATGACACAACTTTACAATAACAGCAAGAGGCTATATATATATATATATATATATTAGATGAATGGATGGCCACTTGGATTTTTCTTTTCTTTTTGGACCAAAAGACTCAAAGACAAAAATTTAAACACCGTCTTTTCATAATCATGGTGTTTCCTGGCTTTTATCAGATAATCTAATCACCCCAACTGTCATCGTTACGGCAACAAATTGGTAGAAAATATTTCACACAATTAACTATAAACTAAAATGTTAACTAGCGAAACTTTACGACAATATCTATTTCTACATCACTAATTTTAAGCCTCGACTTGTGTGATTTTACATATATTTTTTTTAATAAAAAAACTAATACAAGGCAAGCAACAAGTCATATGCATCAATCTTAGCATCTTTCTATTATTATTCATAAGCCCCATGATTTTTTTATAAAAATTATTCAATTATTTTGAAGAAAATTTGATTTTTTTTTTAAAGAGGTTTGAAGAAAATACCGGGGTTTGGATGGGAAGCTTTTGCAGTTGCAGCCATGGAAGTTTTTACGTGTTAGTTAGGAAGTCAGACAGAAAACGAAGAAACTGCAGGCGTGGGCCCTCCTCCTACGTGGCCCTGCACATCAATTTCGTTATCTTTGCTAAACCCTTCGTCTCATCATCTCTCTCTAGCTGTTTTTCCGACCTAAATTTCTCAACTAAAACTTTCTAATTTTCATAATAAAATAATTTTAGCAATAGCATAGATGCTTGCGTTGCTGAAAATTTGTCTGATTTGTTTGACCTTGTACGTTGTCTGAGAATAATTTTTAATAATAAAATTTGAAGATGTTTATAATTTCTAGTTTTTTACCACTGCTCTCGGTGAAGTTTCAAATTTAAAAACAGAATATAGGAGAAATTATTTGAGAATATTCTGGTTCTACATAATTTTATTCTTGAAATAAAAACTAAAATGCCCAGGGCCCTGCCTGTACGATAACAAATTGCACAAATACATCACTTTCCCAACGATGGCGCTTCCCATCTACTTACTTGGCGGGCACAGTGCGAGATTTGTCGCTTCTAGCTTTGTCTACACCACCTTATTCCTTTTCAGGTCTGCTTATTTATTTATTTATTAAAACTTGAAGATAGAATATATGAAATTCATTTTAATTATAAACCTGAAAATATCCCCTATGCATATCAAAATTTATACTCACAGTTATTGTTGTTAAACTCTATGTTCATTTTTTAATTTTATTATTTTTATATTTTTAACTTATAAAATTTTGTTAACTCGATTATAAGTTTAAATTAAATAAAATTTGGTTAAATTTGTGAGGTAACTTCTTGAATTTATAGTTTTTATGTTTTTAGTTTATATAATTGTATTAATTCACTCATAAACTTGTTGAATAGAGTAAGTATATATTATATAAAACTTAATTTATAGAATCAGGAGGACCTAATTTAATAAAAAATAAAACTCAAAGAAATAAAAATTAATATTAATAAAAAAATACTAAAAATAAGTTGTCATATTTTAAAATTTTTGTTTTGAGTATAATAATCTATAAATGTAGATGCATTTAACTTTAATGATATATGCTTAAATTAAATTATGATCATATTTTATATTTAAATTATTTAATTATAAACTTTTAAAGGTTATTTATTAATAGATATAAATACTTATAAATTTATAATTTCAGTTTATGTTTTAAATTTATATTCCTATCACAAATTTACTTAATCTCTCAAGTTTAACAACCTTACCTATAGCATGATCGAGAAAATTTAAAATAGTAAATAAATAGTGAAACTATAATACATTTTACGGCAACGATTTATTCTGTTTTATTATGTAATAGCTCTTCCTTAAATTGTAAGTCTTTAAATTCACACGCATAACAAAAACAATAAAAATATAATAAAATATAATTCTATTTCTACGAACCCAAAATGTTTTTGAGCTCGTACAAATTAGTCATTGTTATTAATGTAAATATTATAATTTTTTACAGTAAAAAATGTCTGAATTATACATAAATCAAGATAAACTTCAGGCCCTAATTTAGTTGGAAGCAAGAGCAAGAGAATGAGATCGTTGTCCGTCAATATTTTAAAATGTCTATTACAAAACTATAGTTTGAGAATTTTTAATACAAAAATAATTTAACTGTAATTTAAACTAAATCAACTTTATAAATATTGGGAGAGAGCGCTTGCGAGGCTGATTGACATATATACTAATCTTTGGATCAACTTTACATATTTTATTTTGAATTCCAATTCCAATTGATATGAAATGAAGTGGAGAAAGGGACGTCCAAATGCATCCTCTGAACCCAAAAAAAAAAAAAAAAAATGCATCTTCTGATCACCCTCTCTCTCTCTCTCTCTCACTAATCTCCAGTGTTCTCCACTCTGCACCCTCCACCTTCTCCTTTTGTTTGTGTGGTCTGTGAGGCTCTTGCTATAAGAGACCCCATTAGGGTCCGATCCCCAATCCTCCTTCCTTCTTTCAAACTGTTTCAACTGTCGCCGTCCGATTTCCCCCCTGCCGGCGCAATCTCAGCCGTCCTCCCCCCCCTCTCTCTCTCACCATGCCTTCACTCCACTCACTGGCTCTCTCCTGCTCCTGCTCCTTTCTTCCATTGGTCGCCTCGCCGATTTGTTCCCGATCCTATTGGCCCGTCTTCCGTGCCCAACTCGCTGCTTGATTGATTGCTTTCTACTTTCTCGCTGCTTCCCACTGGCATCGTTCTGCCTGTGTCTGTACCTCTACTTCATCGGTTTTGCGGCGCTGAGCTTGCCGTGTGTGCTTCCACTGTTGGTCAAATCTACTTTTGCTTTAGTACTTCTGGTCTTTGTTTAATTTTGAAGGTTATGAACCGATCTGCATCGGGGAGTTGAGACATTAGAGTTCGGGCCTGAAATTCCGTTTCTTGAGTTCCGAGCTGCCCAAGTTATTGGCCTTCTGAGGTGTTTTGCTTCGTTTCACTTTTCAATGGCCATGGACGATCGAAACGTGAGGAGAATGAGCACCGGCTTAACCGAGGTGGTCCTGGAACTTGTTATGGCTTTTATTCACGACCCCAAAGATCGGGATGCGGTTTCTCAGGTCTGCCGGCAGTGGTACGAGATTGACTGCTTGACGCGAAAGCATGTGACGATTGCTCTCTGCTACACGTCCACCCCGGACCGTCTCCGCCGGAGATTTCCGCACCTGGAGTCGCTGAAGCTGAAAGGGAAGCCGAGGGCGGCCATGTTCAATTTGATTCCGGAGGATTGGGGAGGATATGTGGAGCCTTGGGTAAAAGAGATTGCTAAATATTTTGATTGTTTGAAGTCGCTTCATTTCCGTCGCATGATTGTGCGGGATTCCGATCTTGAGCTTCTTGCGCGGTCACGGGGACACGTTCTTCAAGCTCTTAAACTCGACAAGTGCTCTGGTTTTACAACGGATGGCCTTTACCATATTGCCCGATCTTGCAGGTAAATACTGGATTATGGTTTTGCGTACGTTTTCTCTTTTTCAGATTTCGTGGTTGTGTTCGTGTAGAATCTGATGGCCCTTATCACTAGAATTTACTGGATTTCCTTTTTCTTTTGCTTGATTTAAATCAATTTTGTTTGCTTATCATTAGTATGAAATATGTATGCGATTTTTTGGGTGTAATAAATGCATGATTTTTGTAATAATTATTAGAATAAATTTGAAGGTTCCAGTCAATCAATTTAATTTCATACTGCGAATCACAGTTGATTGACTTGCAGCTATGTTGTATTTCTTAACGTATGGGTGAGGATAGTTGCCTAAAACTGAAGTTGTATGTCCTGTTAGAGGAAGAAGAGAAGGTATCAGTGGAACATCTCTAATTGAGTGAATACACTGAAGTCCCACCCAGCTGATTGATAAAGTGGTTTAAGTGTTTGAGTTTCTTTTCTTCGTAAATGCATTTCCTTTCTGCTGGCATTGTTACCAAATTGTCGTGAAGCTGGATTGCGTATTGCCTACCTCCATCTTTTGATTCCAACCTCTGAGATTATATTTTGGTTACCATTTTACGTATACTCAATGTTTAACTAGCAATGCCAACTCTCCTCGTTCTTCTGCAAATGAACGCTCTGTTCTGTTACGAGTACGTGGTATTTCAAATTGCGTCTTCGAAATTGATAATCGTTCTTTTGTATCCCCTTTATAAGAAAACGTGCCCCTTTAAGCTAGCACACTGGTTGTTTATTATTGCATCCTGTGGCATACTTGATTGGATCATTTCATGCTGCGAGAATTTGCAAAGCGATAGAAGCTATTATGGTCGAAGCTTCTTTATTTCTGAAGAAGACGGAACGCCATATCTGTCTGCTTAATATGATGATACGTATTTTTGATACCGGTTTCGGGATAATTATAGTTTATGAGTGATGGCTTGTGAACATGAGCTGAACTTTTGAACTATCTGCAACATTTTCTCTTCAGTTGTTACTGTAAAGAATTAAAGATTGTCAAACAGGTATCTTTCGCCTATGGCTGCCTTGATCGAACTTTGGTGCGGTAGAAATAACCAAGGCAGCGCATTCTTTTCTACAAGCCGAAAACTTAGCCTGCCTTTTGGGGTGACGATCGTAGTTAAAAAGTCTGAAGGGAAAGAGAAATGAGACCTGTAGGAATAGCAAGCAAAAGATAAATCTATGTTTGAAGAAGAAGAGAAAAAGTTGCCTCATTATTTATAACGCTAGGTTTTATTGGATATGCAGTGGATTTGAATAAATGGCTTTGAAACATCCATTCCTATATTGCATCTGTCATCCCAAAAGTACAAAATAATTTTTTTTTTGGTTTTAAGATTTGACTCCGACTTGAATCTATTCTTTGGACATAATTGAGTAAATTGATGCTACACATATTGTTGTTTAATCTCATTTCACTTTTTGAGCGATGCCTGTTTTAACTCTAATATGATCATTTTTATGTTCTGGGCCTAACCTTCCCCTTTCAAAAAGTAGTATAGTTTGCTTTTTTTACGTGGGCTCTGAATAATTTGAATTTCTATGGATGAATGGATGGATGCTTTTGTTACGTTATTATCATATTCTGTTTCTAATTAGTCAATTAATTCTCAGACTCATTGCCAACCAGTTTCTCTCCCCCATTACTTCTTCTGTGTCCTCTTCCATTCTAAGTCTATGCTTAGTTCACTCATAGATGGCTATTTTCTTTTGTCAGGAATTTAAGAGTCCTGTTTTTGGAGGAGAGCCAAATTGTTGAGAATGATGGCGAATGGCTGCATGAACTTGCTTTGAATAATACTGTTCTTGAGGCTCTAAATTTTTACTTGACAGATCTTATCAATATCAGAATTCAGGACCTTGAACTGATAGCAAATAACTGTCGCAACTTAGTTTCCGTGAAAATTACTGATATTGAGATCCTGAAGCTTGTAAACTTCTTTCGTTCTGCATCTGCACTAGAAGAATTTTGTGGAGGCTCCTATAATGAGCAGCCGGAGAAGTACGCTGCTGTACCATTTCCCGCAAAGTTATGTCGATTGGGTTTAACGTATATTGGAAAGAATGAACTTCCAATAGTTTTCCCTTTTGCATCCGTTCTGAAAAAATTGGATCTCCTATATTCGATGCTGGATACAGAGGATCATTGTGCGTTAATCCATAAATGCCCCAACTTGGAAGTCCTCGAGGTAAATTCCCGAAAATTTTCCTCACTAAATTTGCTTTGCTTCGAAATTTTTCGTTATGTCCAGTCTTGTATCTGCTTCCACGCGTTTCTCCATAAGCATTGGAGTGTTTGAACTCCTCTATCTGGACTATAAAAGCATGAAAAACTGTAGGACGTTAAAGTCGGTTATAATATGTTACATATTAATGTAGCTTAACCCACATAAGAAATAGCGCATCCCAAGCCGAAGAATCTTCAATCTATCATAAGTATATGCAATACAAGACTCCCTAGATTAAGGCTTTCTACAGCTTTATCTTATTATATTCTACGTAGTCGGATGTTTCCTGAGGGACTTTTACATAATGGACGTTGACATTTTGGACACTGTTGTTCTGATTGCCCTTAGTTAGACCAGTTCTCAGTTTTAATATTTTGAATGAACTTGCATGTTTCCTTATTGACAGTCAAGGAATGTAATTGGTGATAGAGGACTCGAAGTTCTTGCGCAAAGCTGCAAGAAGCTCAAGAGACTCAGGATTGAGCGAGGAGATGATGAGCAAGGGATGGAGGATGAAGAAGGTGTTGTTTCTCAGAGAGGGTTAATTGCTCTGTCACAGGGCTGTCCAGAACTTGAATATTTGGCTGTTTATGTATCCGACATTACAAATGCATCCCTGGAACACATTGGTACTCACATGAAAAACCTTACTGATTTTCGCCTTGTCTTGCTAGACCGTGAGGCAACCATAACTGATTTACCTCTTGACAATGGGGTGAGGGCTTTATTAAGGGGTTGTGATAAGCTGAGAAGATTTGCTCTGTATCTTCGCTCCGGGGGCTTGACTGATGCCGGCCTTGCCTATATTGGGCAATACAGCCAAAATGTGAGATGGATGCTTCTGGGTTATGTAGGGGAATCTGATGCAGGGCTTCTGGAGTTTTCAAGGGGCTGCCCTAGCCTTCAAAAACTTGAAATGAGAGGCTGTTCTTTCAGTGAGCATGCATTAGCTGTTGTGGCCACACAACTGACTTCTTTAAGGTATCTATGGGTGCAAGGGTATAGACAATCTGCATCTGGGCGTGATCTTTTTGTAATGGCAAGACCCTTCTGGAATATCGAGTTGATTCCTTCTAGAAGAGTTCTTGTTACTTATCCAAGTGGGGAATCTGTAGTGGCTGAGCATCCGGCGCATATTCTTGCATACTACTCTCTTGCAGGACCAAGATCAGATTTTCCAGATACCGTTGTTCCTTTGGATCCAACCGCATATGTTGAAATTTAGAGTTGTACATACCAACTTTTTCCTCCCTTTTCCACGTCCTTTTTTCCACTTGAAATCTTGTCTGCAAGTATCTGCTGTCTTTTTTTAGCTAGAGGGTTTCATTTTCCGCCGTTATTTCCAGACATTATCAGTCTTGTAATAAGCTTGTGTTCTTTCTCTCTTTTGATCCGGAAACGCTTCCACTGCCTTGTGCATGTAGTTTTCTTCAGTGAAAGATGCTCAATTTTGTGAATAAGAAAAATAAGGCGTGCTTTTGTTCATCCATGGTTTGCCGTTTCGTTTGTGGCTTTGGTGTTTTTGGTATGCGATAACATAAAAACTTGTCATTAATGGCACCATTAGCAGAAGCTACAAATAGGCGTATCATTAAGGGAGAATTTCACTCAGGGCCTCAAAATGAATTTATTTACTATGAGGGTGCAATACATTTTGAAAATGCACTACCCGAGGTGCTTCAATATAATAAATTTATAGGTCTCAATTACTGAAATATCCAAGTGCCTTTTTTTTAGTTAGGTTTTTCAAAGAAAAACGGGGGTATTGTGGTTATTAATACTAAAATTTTGTTACACTAAAGTGAGGTACTTAAAACCAGATCGGTTAATGAACTGGTCAAGATGTTGGATTACGGGTTAGTGGTTGAACTAAGGGGTAGCAAATCGGTCATGATTAAAATAATATAATTTAAATAAAAAGACATTAACTATAAAAATATCCAACCAAATTCAAGATTAATTTTTAATATAAGATAGCAATACAACAATAATTATAGAAATATAATTACTCAAAAGTTTAACAATAATAAAAAATAATAATGGACAAAAACAATTAGAAATGCTAAACAACAATAGACAAATTAACAACAACAAATAATGTAAAAATCACTTATTCTGAATTAAAAATACAGAGAAGGAAGAGGCATGGCAATTAAAAAACTAATGACTAGACAATGAGAAAATTTATTGAGAGAGATATAGGATAGTAATATTACAACAAGTTTTGCTTCATAGTAAGAGAGAAGACAGCTGAGAGCGACACGAATTATGCATCATGATCATGGTGAGTTTTGCACTTTTGCTACACGGCGAGAGAGATAAAATTCGAACTAAGAAAGCCAAGAGCCCAGGAGAGAAATAGCGGTAGAACGGGTAGCGATGATAGTTGATGATCGACGGGTGGGGTTCAATTTGATCTAGGACTAAGGATGAGTCTTCAGAGCTAGTGGGAGTGGGGTTCGATTGAATTATTTCAAAATTCAAAAACAAAACTAGTGAAGCTTTTTTGCTCTTTTTCTTTTTAAATTTTTTCTTTTTTAAAAAAAACTCCCAAAATGTCATATTTTGGGGATTTTGAAGGGCAAAAAAGAAAAAGAATTTTTGAGGTTTTTAGAGGGAAAAATATGTGACACAGTTGACCCAACTAACCTGTCGAGTTATTTGGTTTACATTGAGTTGACCCTGGGTTGGTTGGGTCATACTGGGTTACTCACTGATTGGGTTAGGATGAAAATCAGACTGGTGGAGAGGCCAGGTCACTGGTTCAAAAGTTGACCTAGCTAGTCCGATCTATTTTTCCATCCAATGCATTAACGTGCCTTGAGCTTGTAGTGCATGTTTAGAATGCATTGAACCTTAATAGCATATAAGTTTATTTTGAAAGCCTCGAGTGAAATTTTCTCTTTCATTAATTTAGTTTCAATTTTTTTCCTATAAGTTGAAGGAAGGTAATCCAAATAAGCAAATTTTAGTATTTCCTCTAGTTCCATCTATAAAATATCTTTGAGAAGATTCATTTAGTCTCATTTATAAATTACAGTGCAACTTTTTAAATAATATTTAAAAGGTATTTTTAAAATTACCCTTCATGAAAAAAAAAATTAACATAACATCAGTTTTTGAATTTGTTACATAGGAGCATATTTAAAATTTTATATATTTTTATTTCTTATATTTTTTTATATTAGTATAAATGAGTTTGGTATAAATGATTTAAAGAAGAATGGAGGAGTATATAAAAACAACTCAAAGAGATGGTCATTTGTACTCTGTAGGCTCCAAAAACTGATACATACTTACCTAGTATGACATGGCATCAGCAAAGATGCTTACCTGAACGTCTTCCTCTAAAGTTTAGGCAAAAAAGAATTTTGATAGGTCCTGCAATTTGTGGGCCTCCCCTTGAAAATGGGTCAATTGCGATGTGATGCTATCCCAATGAAGTTGGAAGGATATAAAACAGTGTATTTTACTTTTTGTAACTAAATTTTCAATTTTTATTTATTACTTCCTGTTTGATTAAAAGTCTAAGACGTACTTTTACCTAATATTTTCGAATTCTATTACTCTAGGAAAAAATTGCATGTAGTCTTCTTCTTCTTGTTTTTGTTTTTTGTTTTTGTTTTTGTTTTTGTTTTTTGGGGTGGGGGGATTACAGTCTTCTTACTTATGCTTGCATGAATGGCAAGAAATGTTCTGATATTCAAAGGGGTGTACTTCAAGATGCAATACAAATTATTTTGAGATGTTGCGTATGTTTAATTCAAATCATGAGTATTTTTGTCATTATTGTTTAAAGTGGATCCGTCCCTGTGTTGATGAAGGAATTGGATTCAATATGCATTGATTTGAGCATAGTCAAATAATCAATCATAACTAAATTGGTATATTTAAAGTTTCAATTTTAATATTTTACATACTCTTTTCAATCTTTTTTATAAGTTATTTCTAACTAACTTATTAAAACTAATGTAGGGTAATTAAAATAATAAAATTGTTTTAAAAATAAATTTCTTTTCAATTTTATTCCTACTTAAAAAAAAGAGTAATTTGATATGTGGGAAGAATTTTCTTAAGAAAATAAAATATTGCATTTCTTTTTAGAATTTGTTAGAAAGTAATTTTGAAATTGTACATTATTAAATATTACAAAAATCAAGATAAAATGACTTATATAAAGAATCAAGAAAATTTTTAGAAGGTGACTTCTAAAGGATACTATTAAATAACATGCAAGCATATTAATATTGATAAATTTTATTGTTTAATATTCATATTCAAACCATCAATGTTCACAATATTTATAGAATTTTTTAGCATCTTTTTTTTGGGGTACCACCATCATTAGATTCCAACTTAAAATCACCATAGTTCATAACTGAAGGGTTTGCCACCTATATATTTTCATATTATTCAATAAAAAATAATACTAATAACTATTAATTTTTAATAATAATTATAATACTTAAGACATGTATAACATTAGGGTATTAAAAAAATTAACCGAACATCGTTTTTTGAATAAATAACAAGACAAATTTACACAAATTAAACCTCTAACATTGGCTTTGAATATGAAAATTTTGAAGGTTAAATAAGAATTGTTAAATATGATAACTCTGGTTTTAACTTATTAGATTGGGTTAGTGAGCAAAATGGACTCTGAACTCTTGCTCGAAAAGCATCATGGATCGTAAAATTTTAAAATGTGAAAAATAAATTTTAAATTTTTAAATTCATAGCAAAATGAGTCTTGACCATTATATTTTTAAACGCTGTTACTATTCAAAGTAGGCCTCAGTTGATGCTGACGTATCATTGTTAATTAGCATCACAGGCCCTAAACTATTATGTTAGTATCATTTTAGACCCTGAACTTTAAAATTTTAAGCAAATTACTCCCACCATTTATGTATATAGCGTTGACTATTATATAAATCAAACTAGTAAAGTACCCGTGCAATGCACGGGCTATATACAATAATTTTTTTAATAAGTGACATATTTATCATTTACGACGAACTAAAGTTTTTATAAATAAATGTCAATCTTGTAGGAAGATTTTTCTTAAAAGAATAACTTGTAGTATATCATTTTTAATACTCCATATCATCATAAATATAGTGGGGCTATATATATTATTTTTAATGTTAAATATGCATATTAGTATTAGGTCAATGTAAAAACTAAATGAACACAGTGTGAATAGATACAATAAGCATATTCATAAAAATTTATAATTAATTAAGGGGCAAATTATCGAAAACTTTCCTATAAACAACATTAGAAGTTTTGTCTGTGGATTGACCATCCTCATTAAGAACCAATATTTTTAAACCTTCCCTACTTCGAACACGAGAAACAGCAACATATAACTGGCCGTGCATGAAAACAGGACGAGGCAAGTACAAACCGACATTATACAGGCTCCGGCCTTGGCTTTTATTAATGGTCATTGCAAAAGCTAGCATAATAGGAAACTGCCTCCTTTTCAGAGTAAATGGAAACCTAGAATCAGATGGACACATAGCAATACGAGGTATGCATACTTTCATCCCTGTAGTTGACTCAGACATTTCTTGGGCTTCAATAACATGTTTTCCAGTTCTTGTAACTATGAGACGTGTACCATTGCACAACTCCATAGACTTATCAATGTTTCGCATCAAAATAATTGGGGCACTGACTATTAATCTTATTTCATGATTCGGGAGTCTTGACATCATAATTAAATTTAAAAAATTTGTAGAGTACAAGTCATCGAGTGAATTTATGTCCCCATCATCTTTTACAATACTATCAAAACTCAAGTAGACAACTTCCTCTCCAGGGATCATGGATAACATGTACTTGTTTACTTCTTCAACCACAGCCAATATAGGGGTTAAGATAGCCCTATTCTAAAATATGAAGAATTATTGATATTGTTAAGGAAATTCAGGAAAGTTGAATTAACAATAGACTTTATTGAATTTTCTAAACCATCCAATAATAAATTAGCTGGGATCTTAATATCCACGGATCCTTCATTAACTCCAGCCGCAGTCCCATCACCAATTGAGATAATCCAATTAGCAAAATTTTGAATATCACTGTTAGATGCCATATTATTTGTTGCCATAAGTCTCATATTTCTTGTTAATGTAAGAAGTTCACAATTATCCCATATGTATGAAGAGTTAATGGTAGCAAAAACAATCTCTTCTCTGGATCTACTTGGAATAACAGGAAGAATCTGCTTGAAGTCTCCACCAAACACGACAACTTTTCCTCCAAATGGAAGATTGGCAGCTAATAGGTTACTAAACTTTAGAATATCTTTTAAGCATTTATCAAGAGCTTCAAAACAAAACTTGTGCGCCATTGGAGCCTCATCCCATATAATTAATGACATATGAACTAATAATTCAGCTAAGTTACTTCCTTGTTTTATGCTACATATGGTGTCTTCTGTCACAAAAAGTAGAATGCAAAATTGTGAGTGA